TGTCTCCCTTCTTGTTGGTCACTGTGTCCGCCTTGTCTCCCTTCTGTCTCCGGTCTTGTCTCCCTTTGTTGGTCATTGTGTCCGCCTTGTCTCCCTTCTTGTTGGTCGCTGTGTCCATCTTCCCTTCTTGTCTCCGGTCTTGTCCTCCCTTCTTGTTGGTCACTGTGTCCGTCTTGTCTCCCTTCTGTTTCCTTCCTTCTATTTCCTGTTGTCTCCCTTCTTGTCTCCCTTCTTGTTGATGTCTCAAAAAGTGGACTTGGGAATGCTTCGTTGTTGTCCCACCTGTTTGGGGTCTACGGTGGTGTAATTTGCAGGAGCCAGCTACTGAACAGTGTCATGCAAGGCGCAAATTAACTTTGCATAGTGTTGTACCGTAAGTCTCATTTTGAGATGTACTGTTTTCTGACAAAACCACCAGGAAGTAATAACCCCCTCGCGCGGCACACCGATTACCTTTGGTGATGATGTGTGCCCTCATCCATTCGACATCTGACATTCCAAAGCACCCACGAAGGACTGGAGACAGTGGGAGACAAATGGAAGACAAGTGTGAGGGTCATGCGGCCAGAGCACCCACAAGGGACTGGAGACAGTAAGATGCAAGTGGGATACAAATGTAAAATCATGCGGCCAGCACACCCACAAGGGACTGGAGACAGTGGGAGAAAAGTTGGAATGGAAAATCATGCGGCCAAAGCACCTACAGGAGACTGGAGACAAATGGGAGACAAGTGTAAACATCATGGGGCCCCCCACCCACAGGCGAGAGGAGACAGTGGGAGACAAGTGTACAATCATGAGGCCAGAGCACCCACAAGGGACTGCAAACAGTGGGAGACAAGTGGGGGAGAAATGGTATACAAGTGTAAAATAATGCGGCCACAGCAACCACAGTCTGGCAGGAACGCAAGCCCGGAGACACATGTAAAATCATGCGGTCCGGTCATGCACCCCTTTCAAAGGAGTAAGAACCCGTCACAGGCAAACCTGTTTGGGGAATGATCAACTTGTAAATGTAGGTCCATGATATATATATATATATGCGTGTATATATATATATTATGTACTGTATTATACTGTACTGAAAATCACAACGGCATCTTTTGCCTGCTTTGTATGGAAGAAACTTCATCCCAAAGCGAGGCCCGCTCTTGACAAACTTGGCTCCGAATCGGAAACCCACTTCAATGTTTTAGGCCTGCGCGTTGCTGGGATTGACGATCCCCCTCTTGATTTGCGGTATGGATTTCGGGGGAACTCCTAGATGTTTGCATGTCCCATAAGTTAACTTCTTCAAAGAAATCAAAGTCTGCAAGTGGATGATCGTTCTGTACTGTTCTTTCAAAAGAGTGGTGCATGGATATATGGTGCATCTAATCTTCTTGTGCAGCAATTTGGTGTTCAGTCCTTGCATCAAAATTGTCATCCTAGAAGCTCCTGGTCCGCATGTACCAGGATTGTGTTTGGCTTTCTGCCGATCACTTCTCTTCATGCCATGAGGCAGGTAAAAAGAACACACACACAAACATTTAGCTGGTTGAAAGGACGCACGCGAGGATGCTGATGCTCTTCTTTATATACTATATAATATATAACATATGATATATAATATATGATACTATATGATTAGTTATAAATAACTTATAATCTATTATCCAATAGGATCTAATACAATATCTAGTGTATTCCAATATTATCTGAACGTATCTACTAAAAATATCCAAATATATCCAACATATTCCAAAACTATCCAAACATGTCCAAACATCAATCCATTGTTTATGTTTGTTTGTATTTGTTTGTAATATTACTATGTCATATTATTTCGTATTTGTTCCATTGGGATCCACATAGGTCAGGGATGGTCAGGGGAGGATGAACAACTGTGAACAATGTATTGAGGGAGGGGCCTACAGTCCACCTAGCAATACAGCCCCTGGTGAGCAGGGATTATATATGTTTATATAATATAAAGGATCTTCACTTCCCTTGACCATGAAGGTATTGTATCGACATTCTGAGAAAAACGAAACACCGAAACCCTGCACTGCACCAGTCAGTGGAGTGAAGACAAAGCGCATAAGATCATTGCATAGACCCTGTCATAATACTCCTCAGGCTCATCGCTCATAAGCTGGTCCGAGTGCTCATCTGCCTCACCAGGGCTCAAAACAACACCGTTACTGTTATATTACAGTACAATTGGGTTCGACTCTATCCTGACTCCAACCATTGGGATGTTGAACACCCCATCCGAGAAAGAGAAAGATCTGACCCCTGCTCGTACAAAGGTCTGCAAATGAAAAGGGCGACCATTGTTCTACTGAAAACGAAGCTTGCCCAATTCATTTATTTGGGGGGGACTACTGCAAGCTGTCGGCAACATCTCCGGTCCTTGGTGCAACTCTCAGCGAAGCGCAGGAAGCTCCTCGGCTTGAAAAACCACCCGGGTGAACCTCGAGATCCATATTCCAGAGTGACCTGGAATGGGCCCAGTTGAGATCCTTAGAGAACCAGGTACAGAATAGATATCCTGCCCATGTTCTGTTGTGCATCTACGTTGACAAATTTGTACTGTATGTATGACAGCTAGCTGGAAGGGCGGCGAAACATCACCAAGAACCTCCTCGAGCTGCTGTACGAAACACTCCATGACACCCCACACGTCAGCACCCGTCGCCCACACTCTCCGAGCACATGAAGTACATAAGCGCTACCAAGATACCCTGCTGTCTGGCCGCCTGGGTTGCGAGTTAGTTACCAACCACCACGGAGGTGAATGCTAGGAGGAGACAGTTGGCACTGTTGGTGTTTTCTCTTTGATGGCATGGTTGGATCTTGCAGTTCTTGACCATTGTTTACAGCAGCAGCTTGTTTTTGAACAAGTGAGCTGGAATTTCAATTCAGGAGATGAAGTGCCTGTGCACCCCATTCTTATGGGTTCCACATTCATCTCGCTACAGGCTTCAACGCATGGACGGGGTATTCCTACGCCCGGTCGGGATTCTTCCACGGGCGAAAGCCGAAAAACCTTTATAGCATGTGGGTCGATGAGCTTCGAGTCTGACATGGGGGGTTGAGGACGCTACTAGGAGCAAAGGGCATCGCTACTAGGAGCAAGGACGCTACAGTACTAGGGGCTCCTGGCCATACTACTAGTAACAAGAAGCTACTAGGAGCTGATGAAGAAGGAAGAACAAAAACGTGTTGTTTGCCGCCCCCAGCTCCTCAGGAGAAGCCTGCCAACCCAGGCATTGGAAAAGTCAAGTGCCCATGAGCCCATATTTATATAATGTATATATATATATATGGAGTAAATTCAAGTAGACCTCTGAACCCAGAACCGGACTAGCATGAATGAACATGGACTGGGATGTGAGTATTGGAGGCTGTTTGCTATTTCAACAAGGGATTGTTCTGGAATCTGAACTCCACAGTGAGACGTCCGCAAATAAACACATCTTTGACTCTACGGTGGTAATTTTAGAGCAAAAACGGTGCCCATTAAATGGTCACACACGGAAGCCCCACGCCCTTTTGCCTCTCACGTGTAAGCCAGCCTCGTCCCTCCAGCTCCTTCGCAATGTTCAAGGCTTTCCTGATAGTGGTGCCGTACCTTGGGGCAACATCAGCAACGATGTTAGTTTCTGGCATTTGGCAGCGTGTGTACAAAATATATAAAACAAAACAAACAGGAGCGCACACACAGGAGATTGCTTTTTTGGTCTGTGTGTGAAAGTTGAGTGGTTCACAGAGCTCCAAATTAACAGCATGTATTAAGTTGAGTTGAGAATAGTTCTGATCCCGACAAGTCTTCTTACCACTTTGAAACCAAAAAACAGGAAACCTGACTCCTAACCAGATCGACTCGGATCCGGTGGGGTTGTCATGGAATAACTATGACACATCCATCTGCGAGTTGAGCACGTTGACTCGTTCATAGGCCAGTTCCAACAGTTTGCTCTGTGAACCAGGCAGGATATTGCATAATTACTTCCATAATTTATAGTGTCAGGTCAGACTCTGGTATTGTATAGTGTACAGCTATTGCTCTCCTCTGCAACGAGAAACGTTGGGACATCTTGGTCATACATAGTGTATCTCTGCCTTTGCTTGACCATTTCGGAAACGACTTGTCTCACCACTGTTCCATGCGCACCGTCTGTGCCACGGAAAAGAACACTTTGCCAAAAGAGTCCCCATCGAGCAAGTGCACAGTCGTTTGAGACTTGGATGGCACATCCCAAGGTGCCAAACACTCGCAAAGAAAGCCATCCTTTCGCTCACCTGGAACATCTAAAATTAAAATATGTGTCCACCTCCAAATGAATCTTCCAAAGGTTCCATGATGTTCCGTGTCCATACGCATCGCCCACTAACATTGCACTCGCCGGATCGCATCGCATGCCAAGGTACCAAAGATACACCTCGTTACTGCTGGGCTCCAGGCTTCCAAGTACCTCACTGGGGCTGGTGAAACAAACAGCCCTTCAGCCCTTCCTGGCTCGGCATAAATAGCACTCGCAAACTGCGTCAATATGTTGTGATCCAGTAAATCCATCACGGGGCGCGGGGTCTTTCAGGCTTGCAATCGGTGCTCTCTTGTCCATTCCCTATCCTATGTGCTTACTCACCAGTCTGGTCCCAACTGATTGCTATGTAAGGCGTTCAGTTTTTCCTTCCTCAAGGATCACTCTGGACGCACAAGATTTAAGCATCACACATGATCACCCTTTAAATGCCCTTCAAATAGCCTTATGGACGAGATTTAAAAAAAATGCACCTCTTCACCGCCTTCACTCATTTTCTTCTGTGAGTCGCGGCTGGCCTCACGGCTTCGACACGCGGCCCTGCGTGTGGGTCTTGCCTCCTTCAGCTCGGGGTACTTGGCCTGTGCCAGGTGGCTGGAAAGCTCCAACACCTTCATCGCATCGCCTCGGCACATTGAGACAGACAGAATCGACCATCGACCAAAATGGAACATCAAATGACCTGTCCTGATGGCAACCCGAAAGTGTTTCGCTTGGCGTGGCGAGAACTATCTCTCTTCTCAAGTCGACCATACTGGTTGACTTACTTCAGCAGCTCACATGCCCTAAAAACGAAAGCGGCACCACCCATCGAGCCAACATGGACCAGGGGACTCCATTAAGTGCAGAATTTGATTGACTGACTCTTAATTTCTTGTTGGGGGAACTTCCAAAAACACCATTGCATTCTTCGGATCATGGCTCACTTGGGAGGATTCAATGAACAGTCCATAGAGGCGAACACATGCCGCTTGAGATTGAGAGTGTTTTCACTGTACAAACTCCATAGCCCAAACGAGGGATCATCTGGACAAAACGACAAACCCACCTCAGGACCTTGCTAAACAAAACCCGAACCTGCCCCACGGGCAAGACTTGAAGTTTTGTTCTGCGACCTTTCAATCCACCAGTGTCACAGGATGTGACAGGCTGGATGGTCAGCTCACCCGCTACATGCAACTCAAAGACTATCTCATTGTCACAACATTGTCACAACATTTTAACCAAAAGGGCAATCAAGTCAAGTAGTAAGAATGCTACTAGTAACAAGTGCATCCCTCCTAGTAACAAGTGCATGGCTACTAGTAACAAGGGCATCGCTGCTAGTAACAAGGGCATTGCTACTAGTAGTAACAAGGGCGTGAAGGTAACAGAAGGGGAATCAAGTCGTGGTGTAACCCATAGCATTCAAGCTATCCCATCCTTATTTTTGGCTGACATTGGCTAAAAACAAGGGTTCAGAGCCAGAAGAATACACACTAAAAGACAATACAACCCTACATCTCTTTGGTCACAGCAGGTGCCCACAAAAAGAGGATAGCCAAGTACCAAAACAATCCACACAAGAAACAACATGGGCGTCTGAGAAACTTGGAGGGTTTTGTGCTACCATGTCCTACTTTTCTGTGGGTGGACAGTTGGACTGCCAAATTTACGTCTTCTCCTCTTGGCGGGCAACAATATATCGTCTCTCTGTTCTTCTCTCAACCGAGCTCAATCTCACCAAAGAGCGTTTCCGCTGGACTTCTCGCCGTCTCTTCGCCTGCGTGTGCAACAAACAAAGCGCCGCCAGAAAGGACCAGCAAGGTAGATTTGTTGAAGGAACATTGAGATATGACTCCACAAATTTACTACTTGGTGGCATTGAGGGACCCTCACAGAACTCTACATAAATATGATATCCCTCTTCCATCAGCCTTGAAGAACACACGAACTCATATTATACAGTAGGCAAAAATAAGAAACATAAGGTTCTCCACTTTGGGGGCGCTCAGCAAAGAACAAAGAGTCAAAACCACTTCAAAAAATGCAAGTCGTTCCTATCTTGGCGTTTCCAGTAGGCCAGAAAGGCAGTATATCAACAACTGGCAAACGTGCATAGGAGCAGGGACAAGCAGGGATACCTGGACATGATGGCAACCAAGACTTCCTATAAAAGATTGGGTGCACACCATTTGTTCGTATGAAAAAGGAAAGCTGAACACTGGACCATTCTACGAACTTGCCCTCTGCAACGAAAAGTGCAACAAAATGCCACCCAGTCGCATACGCACTCCGCCGTGATGCACCACTGAAACGCAAAGCGTTCAGTGCACGAAAGGCAACGGGGAAGCCGGCAGAACCAGGCTGAACCTTATCCGGAGCGGGAGTAGGTCAAACTAAGTGACTGTTATTTGACCAAAACACATATGTCCTTCAAGGCTTATTGTTGTCAATGATGTGTTAATGTCCTTTGTTAGAATGGACAAACCACCCGCTGAACCCCGGGCGGGTCAAAGCTGAAGGTTCAACATGGGATTCCGCCTTCGATGTGTCTGGTGCATGGAGCACATTTAGCTTTCAACCTGCCCAGCAATGGCCCAGCAACAGGACAGAAATAGGCAGTAGACGACCGTGCCCCTAAACCCTTTTTGATTTGAATACAAAATTGCTCATACCTTTTCAACACAAAAACTAACAGGCCATGCATCCCAAAGGAGCTTATTTGTAGAGGAGCTCATCCTTTCCTTTCAGAGGCTGAGAATTGCACGTCGACCTGTTCATGGCAGAACATTTCAATAAATGACAGATTTGATGGTCCATCCATCCCTTGTTTCTACCATACACATCAGTTCCGATCATACAGCTGGCAGAGAAACTTATCATGTTTGATAACCTCTGAACTGCAGGACACCACGCCCAGGAGCACATGCGCAGGGCGCCGGAGCTCCGCATGACTTTGTACAAGACCTTCTCAGTTTGAGGAGAAAAGTGAAAAACACACAATCACTTACAGGGAGAATCAATCCTTGGACTCTGCTGGGAAGCTGTGTCAACCCCTAAAAAGAAAAGAAGCAAAGTAGGCGGACGGGTTTCTGACGTAAATAATGATACTGGTATATTACGCTCCTTTGACCAGTCTCGTTATGGCAACCCACATCAACCCACAGTTCTTGATGGGAGGAACAAATTTACATTTTTAGTGTCTGGTTGCGGGAGGGTGTGGACGTGGCTGAAGCAGGCCTTGCTTCCCGCGCACCCCCCACTCACCCAATCAATAGTTATAACCCTCTTGCTTCTTCTGGACATGAATTGGAAAAAGGGACCAGGTCTGGTGATGTCTGGTGGCAGCCAATTTCACTTGGCCAGGTTTGTGAGGTTGCATTCTTCCGGTAGTCCTCTGAAAAGCACACTCGAACCACCACCCGGCGCCACCCGGAGCTACTTTTACCGAGATGCACCTACAATAAGAGTCTCAGCACCCATGTGCCTGTATTTGACTTTGAGTCAACGTAAAGATTTGTGTCTCCATACCAGGTATGACCAGGGCTCTGCAAGAGCGCCCCTCACTCACGGTTTGCTGAAAGATCTGAACATATTGGATTTCCACCCAACACCAAAGTTTGATGCGCGCAAAGACTGCTGACAAATGCTGGGAGAGGGGACAGGCACATCAAAAGAGTATGTCCATATGTGGCAAAACAAACGGTGCGGTTTTATTCGGTGACTTGTTTGCGCCGCGTTTCGGAATTTTTGGGCGGTCGTGGTTTCTCTATAGTTCCTCCAATGGAAGCAGAAAGCTAGCTGTTTGTAGAAGACATATATAAGGGTCTATGAGACCATTTTCCATGTCCATGCTTGTTTCACGGTGTCTAGGGCCAGGGCAACAAAAACTAACCAATTGGCCACAAGGCAAAAACGAAACTCCTGCCGCAGGCGAACAAAACATGAGACAAGTGCATCACAATCGAGAAGGGAGTAAGGAATAGAAGAGTTCTGTTCATATGGTGCACTTGGGTTGTCCCTTAGAGTGAAACAAAACACAACAACCAGTATATAGAGCAGAAAACAAGCAACAAGAGGAGGAAAAGTATAGAATGCCAGAAAAGCCAGAATACGCAGAATAAAGCAACACAAACTCAAGGCTTGAAAAGCAACTAATAAAAAGCAACGGCAACAGAGGCCATAGAATTATAAAAAACTTTCATATGGTAAGGCCAGAATCCTTGATTTAAAAAAAAGTCAAAAAAAAGTCAAAAAAAAAAGTCAACTGGAAAAGTCAAAGTCAAAAAAAAAGTCAAATTGAAAAGTCAAAAAAAAGTCAAAAAAAAGACAAAAAAAGTCAAACAAAAAATCAAAAATAAAAAAAGAAACAAAAATGTCCAGTCAAGCGACTCAGGAGCAAAAGAAAGTCGGCATATATATATATATATATATGGAAACACAGGCAAAGAGGACAACAACATTGAACTAAACTAGTAACAAGCTCATAAGTCAGCCAAGGCAAGTTGCAGCCTTTTTGCTTATGGCTTATGGCTTTCAGTCTATTAAAAATTCTAGAACCTTTTTGGTTGTTCAACTTTCACCTTTTCCAGCCCCAAGCCAGCCCCAACCCCCTACCCCAGAGTCGCAGGACCCCTACCCAGCCCCAGCCACTGTCCCAGGGTCTCTTCAGCCCCAAGCCAGCCCTGTCCCTGGTGGCCCTGGTAGCCACCCCAGAGTCCCAAGTACCCAGCCCTGTCCGGCCCCAGAGTCGCGAGCAGAATTGACTTTTTTTCGACTTTTTTTTGACTTTTTGTTGCCTCCAGTAATCCGCCAAGGCTAGGATCCGCACATTTGACTTTTTTTTGACTTTTTTTTGACTTTTCCAATTGACTTTTTTTTGACTTTTTTTGCCGGCCCAGCCCCGCATGCCCCAGCCCGCCTGTAGCCTGCCTGAGCTCGACCTCAACCTGACCCCTCCGCCAGGAGCCAGCCGCAGCCAGCCCAACGCCTGGCCCTGGCAGCAACCTGCCCCAAAATTTGAGCAGCAGCTGGCTTGGGGCTGAAGAGACCCTGGGACAGTGGCTGGGGCTGGGTAGGGATCCTGCGACTCTGGGGTAGGGGGTTGGGGCTGGCTTGGGGCTGGAAAAGGTGAAAGTTGAACAACCAAAAAGGTTCTAGAATCTTTAATAGACTGAAAGCCATAAGCCATAAGCAAAAAGGCTGCAATTTGCCTTGTTACAAGCTTTTCCTTGACTTGTTTACCTATGCAAAGTTTTTGTTTGACTTGTTTTTTTTGGACTTTTTGTTGACTGTTGATTTTTGTTGACTTTTTTTGACTTTTTTTTGACTGTTTTTTGACTTTTCAATTTGACTTTTTTTTGACTTTGACTTTTGGGATTGACTTTTTTTTGACTTTTTTTTGACTTTTTTTTTAAAAAAATTTTGAAAACAGGTTCTTTCCAATGAAAGTTTTTTATAACCATAGAAAGCAAAAGCAAATAAAACACGGCACCACAAGGGGATAAGAAGCAGGAAAGTAACAACATATTAAAAACAAACAGGGGAAAAGCCAGGAAGTGCAAAACAAGGGCAAAAGAAGCAGGAAAAGCCACAAAAGGAGGAGAAATCACAGGGAAGCAATGAAATGCAAAGGACCAGCAGGGAAAAGCAAGACGAGCACAAAATAAAAGCAAGAAACGCACGAAAAGCGGGAGAAACCACAAAGAATCAATGAAAAGCAAGGACAAGCGAGGAAAAGCAAAACAAGCGCAAACAAAAAGAAAAAGCATGATATATAGCAAGGAAAAGCCTCACGGTTGTCCGGGTGCGCTTTCTTGAAATCTCTGCCACACGGACCTCTCTTCTGTAACGACGGAGCGATAGGTGAAGTCCAGCAAGCTCTGCAACTGCGACAGCTCCTTGCAGGGCGTTGAGGATGTCACACCCTGCTTCAAGGAGAATCTAGGGTAAGAACTACTTTGAAGGCAACAGCAGGGAACCCAGCCTTGCTAGTAGGCTGGAGGCCATCGCTCTTAGGTTGGAGGCCATCGCTATTGGGTTGGAGGCCATCGCTATTAGGTTGGAGGCCATCACCGTTAGGTTGGAGCCATGCGCCTAAAAGAAAACTCTCCGATGATCTGTACATTACTGGTGGAAACTGGGGCTCTGTGACTGGAGCAAGTGGCCAGTCCTTTTTTTGGGGGGGGAACGCGTGTTGATACGTCCTGGACAGCATTGAAGCCAGTAGTATAGCTTACCAAAAGCGCAAACACATAAAGCCATGATAAACTTCTGATAAACCATAGGTCAGCTAACTCATGGCATGCCCAACTCCGAAGAAAAAGGCAAATTGGTGCAGTGGACTGTTATTTTCAATTGAACAGAACTTATATTTCAAAGCTGGGTCTTCTCAGAATGTCCACTCCAGCAAAAAGCCACGCTAGACATGGGCACTTCTGCAAGATCCGAGCCGATGCAAAGAAAGATCTGGTCATTGACCCCACCACGCAGTGTCAAGATCGTTCTACCACGTGGGCTCTCTGGCAAGTCATAAAGTTGTTTGGTTTAGACAAGTATTTCCAGGGTTGCTAACTGTTCCACAATTCCAAAGATTTGTCTTCCCCTCAGTGCTGGGACAATCCAGGATACAATTTGCCCCATGCTGTTCGGAACTTGGCAACTGCAAACACTATTTGGCCGTGGTATCATCTTCCACCGACATATCATGTTCATCATGTGGTCGAGGATTGCAATTCAGGCTGTGCAAATATATACATATATATATATATATTAATATATATATATACTATATAAAGAGAGGGATTTGATGAGATTTGTATGAAAAAATGATGGCCAAAAGGCTGACTCGCTTGGTTGAGTCTTTGGGTGACATCTCTTTTGCTACCAACATGCCGGGTCAATTTGCATGCACCTGGCTGTAGGTCTTGAACCGGTGCCCTTGCGGACGTTCATCCCCATGTCTTCTTTCCAGTGGACCAGGAACTCTTTAAATTAAAGCGGCTGTCTCAACTTATAGCCTATAGGCCTATAGGGCCCAATAACGGCCTATACAGTAGGTCCTACACAGGTCACTTTATTTAGGCTACTCATCGATTCATCCAGAGCCTCACGCATAAGAACTGTCAGATACTCCACAGAATTCTTAGGAGGGGTGCCAAGATGAGCCAAGCAACCCAACAACCCCTGGCAAAGCTTATGTATGCTCATTCTTCAATCCACTCCGATTCGCTACTTAGCTCCAGTGACTTGCATTCAAATGGAGATGCTTGGCGATGCTTCAGCGATGCTCAGGCCTGAGAGGTCACATAGGAGACCCGCAGCTCAGTGGTCGACGCCTGCTCCCCAAAGGCTTTTCAGCAATTCCAAACAAAGAAGAACGAAGGTGCCGACGGATTCACTTCTTCCCAGTTTAGCTGAGTTCAACTTTTTTTGTGTTTCGCGGTTTCACAAATCCTTGAACTTTTGGCTGCCTTCGGCTCATTGGACCAATTTGCCTTCGGAACTGCCTTGACACTCCAAAATGAACATGAGATATCTGCTGGGCGATCTGACAGGAGGACAGCTGCAACCCTTCGCATCAGGCCCAATCATGTCGGCTTCCTTGTGGCATGCATCAGGAGGTATTTTAATCTTGCCAGCTGCGATAAGAGCTCGACAACTTGGTTGGGAATACTAACGGATGTGATTTCACTGAATAGCATCTTCGAAAATCAACACTTGGCCTGGTGGTGTACAATTAGTGGCTATGTCACCTATGTCTGTCCAAATGTTTCACATTCATTACAGTGAGTTGTAGTAACTGAAGAAAACCACTCTGCAGCAAAAATTGTGTGACTCTATAACTGACTGAATTCTGCATTTTCGTGGATGGCAACAGTTGGTGGTTCAGTTCTACTCCCATCCAACAGAAGTCAGTAAGGTGAATGTCCCGTTGTTACCATAACTAGTCCGCAGTGTGACTAGAAATGCCTGTTGCTACAACAAGATTGATCCACTGGGCCTACCGGATCATGACCCCGCCTCGTCAAAGTTGATCTCTTCCAAGCTCACAGCACCGTCCGTGAAGCTGGCCTGTAGGCTGGTGATGGGCACGTTCTCCGTTTTATAAGCCGGTGAAAGGTCGGCCACCCTCTTCATCGGGCCGTGCCGTGCAGTCTTTGTTGTCCAATCGTAATTCGCATCCAGTCGAGTTGAATGCCCCTCCAAATTCTCAGGAAAAGGTTCTTGACATCAATGCTGCATGTCGCACCAATCACCCTCGCTAACGATCCTCTGACCATGAAGGGGTCATTTGTTTACTGGTTTCAGACTTGAGGTGAACGGTCTAACTAAACATCTGGTCATGGCTCCAACACATGATGGTATGTTATTATAAACAAGAACATGCCCAAATTACAATAACTACATATAATTGTATATATTAGGTACCGACGCCCTGCATCCAACAAATCAAACTGTACGCTCAACCTGTCTACGAGTCTACGAGAGCCTACACAAACGGTGACGATGAAAACGCCCTGTTTGCACGCCTCTGATGGCAGCAGGACAGCCACGATCGGCGGCGCCCTAGACCGTGGTACCGGGCAATCTGTCTGCATTTATCAGTTCTTTGTTTGCTGAACAAGCAATGTAGCTGAAGCTTAAACAAATCCTTGCTGGTCTTTCGATTTGTGCTCCCCGTGACTTAGTGAAAACAAATACATGCGAATACATAGTGCGAGTGCGCGTGCCAAGGAGACTTCTTTCGTGTTTGAAGGCCAATTCCTCTAGGGTCCTGGGACGGCCAAAACATGTAAGGAAGTCATTCTCAAAATTCCTGCCAAACCTGTTGATAATTCCTACATAATACTCACTGCAAACAAAGCCAAGCTTCCCACAATCTTTGGGCGTGGAAGAGTAATTATTGCAGTGTTGTTCCATGCCGCTCTGCCAGTTGAAAGATTTGATAGCACTTGAAACATGCCTACAATGGAATTACGTGACTGGAGTGTGGATGATTTGGAGAATCTTTGAATGCAAATCTGTCAAGTGCTGGTGAAACTTGTCTGGGGAATCTCCCTGTTGGGGTCTTGCAATTTGTCCAATTTCTGCACATTCGAGGGTGGATGACGAAGGGGCTGACCTTTGCGTTGATGCTTCCTGAACACAATGCATGGCAGAGATTGAGAAACATGCATGTTTACCGATTTGCTTGAAGCAAACTTATACAAAAGGCAAGACGCAGTGAAGCGGCAGTATGAGCAAGCACTTCATAAATCTATACACAAGCTTACTACAGTAAAGAACCTATATACCAGTGAGAACCTTGATGAAGATCCTGTACACTTCTGACCTTTGATCTTCAATTAACCACAATTGACCCTTCCTCCAGTGATTCCATGGGCTTCAGAGTCGACAAGGACACTTTCCCCCTGTTTGCCCCTAGTTTTGGCTGCGCTGACCCTCATGATGGTTTTCCTCCTGCCTGGTCTCAGTGGTCTCACTCTGCCAACGGAAATATCGCAACCAAAGCAGGAAACCTCAGCCGGTCGAGCAATCGAGTGATATCTTTTGAGATAGGGTTTATTGACCTTTTTGGGGCACTAAGTGTCCCACGAGTGGACATGGCAAACTGATTGAAAGCGTTTGAAAGATCTTCGGATATTGCTGGTCGACCTCCAAACATGCTTAAACATGCCTGAACAACCAACCAACTAGCATATCCAGTGTTGAACAGGCTCGGCTATGTTGAACTGTTTCAGAGTGTTCCAAGAAGTTCCAACACCTCGAGTTTCGTCGTCCACTCTTCAGGTGCGTGGGCATCCGAGTTTCGCCTCCTGACAGAACCTGGAAGGTGTACCGCCCACGACAAATCTTTGTCGACATGTGTGGACAAGCGATCGAGTTCAGTGTTAAATAGCGATTTTAGCTTCCGTTGAAAAGGTTGGAGTGCTCAACTTCGATCATGCCCTTTGTCGACTCTGGCATGAAGGTCCTGCTCGCTTCCAGGACCCAGCCCACTGAATCAAAGCCTGTAACATGAGAAACAAGAGGTACTTCGCTTTGGCACCTCCAGGCTCTTTATCCAGTTCGCAACAAACAATTGCTCAGAATAGTTTGACCTCTTCCGCTTGACCAGTTGCAAGTCTTTTGGGGGATTGCCACACCATGGCTACTCGTAACAAGTACAACAAGTGCATCGCTACTAATAGTAGCAAGATACTCTCATTATAGTCCTTTTGAATCCTTTTGATCTACCAAGAGCTGAACTTGCCGGGAAACTCATGATCATGAAGAACACCAGCAAGGCCACCACCAGCGGAAGAACTGCCGAGCTTTGTCCTGAACAAGCGGCGATTTGGGGTGTCGGTGGCTCAGTTCCAGGTGGTTCACCTGTGAAAACCCCCGAGTGCAATGAGGTTTCATTATGTTTCATCTATTACGTGTCGGAATGATATATATATATAGCTTTATATAACTATATATTTATACATGTATATAATAGAATAGAAGGAATCAACTTCACTTTCTTCCACACCTTTCATACCCTTTCCAACCCTGCGGAAGTGTGACTCAACTTGCCTGGCCGCTCATCATCCCAGGAAGAGAGTGAACTCCTTGCCAGGACATGCAGCTGACCCAGTAAGAACTCCGAGCTTATAATCATGGGGGTCATCTAAGATCATCTATAATATAAGTCTAGTCAACCTGAAACATGTGAACCTGAAAAAATTGATACTCCTGGACCCGTTCATTCCATTTTCTTTGCTACCTCATTGGGTCTTTTTGTGGTTCCAAATAAGACTAGAAGAACATGCTTTGTCTATGAGTGTGAGACTTTAACTCCGCATCACTTTTTGTATGCGTTTTTGGAGTCTGGGAGGCTGTGGCGGTGCATTTTTTTTGCACTTTTGATTAGAGTTTCCAATCCTGCTGGATGATCCAAGCTGGGGATCTATGGCATTGTGCATCATTGTGCTTTCTTTTTCCAAGGAAACTCCTCAAGGTTGGCTTTCCTTGAGACCTAGGGTTTATGCATTTAGTAGTTTGTCCACCTGCACAGTCAGAAATCTCCTGAGATCTGCCTCGACCTGGCACAGCAATGGACAAAGCAATCAAATTTCCCAACCGGCCCATTTGAGCTACAGCCACACCATCTTTGATGTGGTAAAGGCATTCCCCTCCACGATGGGTTCTTCACCGGTGGTCATTTTCCTGATGAATGTCAACCTTTACCTTATGGGCTTTGTGGCTGGTAGCAACGTTTTCTCATGAGTTGCGTGCCATTCATGAGCGACCCGAATTTGGGCAGCATGCACCCGGACTTCGTCATGTGTGCCTATGTACCATTCTCATCCACCCGGACTATAGCAAGCGAAAACTATTGTTCAACTAACGTTCAGTGGCATCCGCATCCTTGCTACTGCTACTACTAGTAGTAACAAGTGCATCGCTACTAGTAACAAGGGCATTACTGCTAGTAACAAGAAGCTAGTAGCAACAAGAACGCTACTAGGGGCTCCTGGCCGCACTACTAGGAACAAGGACGCTACTAGGGGCTCCTGGCCTTACTACTAGTAACAAGAAGCTAGTAGTAACAAGTGCAACAACCTTTGGCACTTCGTCCGGCTCCCTGATCACCTCCATGAGTCCATCCCAGGTGGCACGAACGCCCATGCCTTGGGTGAACGTTTTCCACCAGGGTCGCATGTTTCAACCAAACAGTGTTTAGAGACCCCACATCCAAAAACAAGGACCCCCCTACTGGATTGTTACTGTATCCGTTTTTGTTGTTTGTTTGTTCCTCCGCCTTCGTTCTTAAGTGCATTCGGGTGTTTCTCATGCATCACGTATGGCCGGGTTTGACCTCAGTAGTACAAACCAAGAGCTTATACTACAACACATATGTGTATATAAATATAGCCAGGTTTGATAACTGTCCCGAAAGGCTACTACATGGGTTCTGGATCCAGGAGAAGTATATTTACATATTGTTGTTGATTTAGTCTAGATCAAATCAAGTCTATTGAAACATGCCGCCCCCGCACAACATAACAGGCACACACAAATAGATTAAACACATAAACACAGAACCTTAAAACCTGTATTAATTAAAACACACAAAACCACAACTGGCCGAATTACCGGCCAACTGAAAACACAGAACATCACTACAGAACGAAAAGGTCATCAGGGAGCTCATCAAAGTGTTGTTCAATCCACTGTTCAATCCATGTTGATGAAGATCAAAAAATGAAATGCAATTGACATGTTGTTTGTTGAATTATCTCCAAAGTGCTCTTCATGACAAGGCACCGAAAGCCTTGTGCTCAAGGCCAAGTTCCTTCAGGGCCCCCATCTGGCGGGTTTCCGCCGAGGCACCGGAAGCTGAACGGGCCACCTCCCGCCAAGTGGTTTCGATGAAGTCTTCGAGACCTGCCATGCCAACTCCAATGGCAGTTCATCAGTAGCGATGATGATGATGATGATGATGATGATGACGGATGATCTCCCCAAATGAGTGACACCCCGGGGATGGTATTTCCTTTTAACCTATAAATCCATCTTCGGGGTCAGTGTGATCTTGCGAGTGTAACTCGAGTGCAGTTGTGGTTAGGTTTAGTGACCTTTTATTGCATTGCATCCTCAACTCATCAAAACTGGCCCTTCTGTCCAAACCACTCAAACGCTGTCATGATTGAACTTTGCAATTGTTTCCAAACCACATTGTATAGGGAAAAAAGGACACTTATCATGCCACTGTAGATCTTATGGAAGGATTTTGACACATATGCTGTTTGAGCTGCACGCGTGCCTGCACGGTATTGCTGGAATAACGTGCTTGTTCACGACTTGAACACCAGAGATCAAGATCCGGCGGCATTACTATAGAATGTTGTGCAGATGCATATGAGTTGTTTGCTAAGTTATTTGCTTAAGTTGTACTCATTCAATGTTAGGACGCCCCGTGTCGTTTTACAATGTAAAATGAGCCTTGTATGTATCGTCTTGCAGGTTCTACATGTTTCGCGTGGAGGAGTCTTGCCACCAACAATGACCGTCACGGACCATGACACACAAAACGCACACACAGGCGCACAAACAACAAAACACAGGACCCCCCTTTCGTGATCAATCATAATCTGAGAGCATCCCCTGCAAACTCTGGAAGTGTGACGGGCTCTGTGAAGTGAGGAAGGACAACAGCACGGAGGGCTGCTCTAGCAAGCGCAACATTGCTGGCTTCTGCCGCACGTTTGCTGATCTGATCTCTTTCTCTAGAAGACACAAGCCTGCCTGCAGCTTTGCAGACTTTCCCTTTTGCACTCTCTCGTGTATCGTTGGGGTATCATTTTGCGCTATCGTTTTATGATGTTGACTTTTGGTCTGTTTTATGACTTTATTCAACCTGCTTGCATTTCCTCATAGGCTGGGGCCAGCCCTGGGCCAAGAGCCAGGACACAGCCCTCCAAACACAAGCAATCGCAATCCCTAATTGCCTGTGACACTTGCAAGAACACACAGATTCATGAAGTGATGCCCTTCAGACCCTTGAGCACAAATGCTCAGAAGAGTTGCTGTGGCAGGAAGACATACCAAAATAAACTCGAAAAACTCAAGGAACCAATGCATGTAACAATAGGGATATCGCTTTTTTGGACGTCCCGTATCGTTTTCCAAGAAAAACCCAATATCACACTCTTGGTGACACGCCATTGTATAAAGTAAATACCAATAAGTTTGAAAACGACTCATATACTTCAAGATTATCTTCAGCTCACCAAACTCAGAAAAACATTGTGAAGGATGATGGGCATGCGATGGCCTTCATCCACTAGACCTTGCATTGGCCACATAAGAAAATGGACACATACAGTATAGTAAAAAGGCCCAGCTGCACGATGGATTCGCAAGCAAACAAAAGCTCACATCCTTGAACATGATCTACGTGCCAGGTGTCAAATACCTCAATCCAGGTCCCCCTGGTCCTACAAAGCCACCAGAAAATATTGACTTTAACTTTACATCGCGTGATCCCCAGCATGACATTTCAATCATTTGTCTTCATGCCATGGTGGGGAGCATGTTGCCATGGTCCTGAGTTTTGTGGTTCTCGGCTTTGTTTATGGGTCCTCGGGTTGTGTGTTGTGGTTTTGTGCTGCGGATGTGTTTGTGGTTGTGTGTTGGTTGAGGTTCGGCGGCGCCCAGTGCGCTCGGGAGCTGGCGGTTGAGGTCCGGCAGGGAACACTACCACGCTAGCAGTTGAGGTCCGGCGGGGAACACTGCCATCCTGCACTTGCGGTTGAGGTGAGGAGGAGGCGGACCAGGCGGAGGCGGAGGCGGAGGCGGAGGAAAGGAGCTGACATAAAATCTAACAACCCTCACCTGACAGGTGTGGAAATAACAAAACGACAAACAGGCTTGCTATCTCAACCCAAAGACCGGAGATTTCGAAGAACAACTCTCTGAGTTGCAGCGGTCCCCAGCCTGCATCTCCGGTGGGGTCTGAGCTTTTGGACAGGCGCCAGCCACGTGCCCATTGCCCAGAAGCCTGCAAAGGATGTGCAGGAGGCGAAGTCCATCAGACTGGATGGAGTCAGTAGAGCAATGGTCAACTTCTGTTACGGTCCTTTAGGTTTTGGATTGTAAGGTGAGGAATTCCATGGAATCCCAACATACTGAGAAGCCGTACATTCTCTAGTTTCAACACTGAACTGTCAATTGTTGACATTCATGTGTGGCTTCAGGCCACACGATTCCACCGCGGGAACTTGTTGGCAAAGGAAACATCGCGCAAAGCCTGTGGATGTCTGCCTGGGTCTTGATGATCTGATGATGCCGAGAAATAAAATATGATGTCCAGATAGCGATTCGAAATCAACAACTGTAAAATCAAATTTGCCCACAAATAAGGCAACATGTGTACCTATGCACACCAATTGAAACTTGCTTTGTTCTACTGCTCTACAATCTTTGGGAATCTTCAAGGAGCTTTTCCAGAGCAAAGAACATTTGTGTTCATGGATGTATTTGCATTGAAATATTCTCCTGATACCTGCTTCTCTTATGACGGGAGAGGTGCGGAAAGGTGAGCAACCAAATCCACAAACGTACTGCATGATGACATGTTATATTTGCTGATGTCCCTGGTTGAATCCTAAAATCATGCAAATTGCGTCGCAAAGCGAAAGGCCAAACATCAGGGGCCGCCTGCACCATCACGCAACGTACCACCCGCGGCGCAGCGAAGCGGGCCACGACACTGACACCTAGCGCTGGGTGATTCACGATCCCAGCGTAAACAAAGTCTAGGTAGAGAATTGTTTTGATTCATCTTGAAATTTACCCATATGTTGGTCATATGTGGAAATAGGAAACTAGAGACTAGAGATATAGAAATTATACCACTTCTACGTGGTCGCCCTCTTGAAAACTGTTGGTCGTACTGTGACCTGCCTGGAACCCAACGGATTCCTAACCGTCGATACTGGAAAAGAACGTGCGGACTGATTACCGATCAAAACTTGGAGTCAGGATGTTGCACCTGTGCAAGCACCACAATTGCCAGACTTGATGCTTCCACATGTCTCGACACCTGCTTCTATCATGCCAAATGCCTTGATTGTTTGGCTGAAAGCCCTTGAGCGCTTTAAGGCTTTAAGAAAAAGGACACCACAATGACAAAGCCGGCAGAAAAAGGGCATCTTCAGTAATGCAGCAACTTGCTTTTGCAACCCACGCAGCCCGGCTGCCAACAAATCAAATCATCAAAGGAGCAAAAGGACAACCACACAGGCTGACAATTTCGTCTTCTCAAGAAAGCAGCTGATGTTTCGCTACCAAGTCAAAAGCAAACTTGTTCTTGAGAAGGGAAGACTGGGCAGCTTCGATCTTGTCCTGAAGCCCTTGTATCGCCAAAAAGAAAGGCAAAATAGGCTGGTCTTGCTGCTGGTGGCATGCGTTGAACACATTGTTGAAAGCCACTGGGAGGTCATGTACAAAACTCATGCAAAGCCATCCGCCACGCTCACTGCCCTCTGGATGAACATGGCATTCGTCCAGTAGAACAAGATCACGGCTCTGCCTTTCAATCAATGAACGACGGCAAATTGCTCAAGTCTATGTATTGGATGCAACTTTCTAGCCACTTTGGCGGGGCAAACTTCAATTCCTCGCCGGTCAGCCGGACCGAATTCCACACCTTCAGTTCCTGGAATAATGTGGTAATTCATCGCTTTAGAGCTGCTTTTCCCATATCTCCAACGCAGCTGCATTTCGCTGAATCCCACTCTCATCCAAAAAGAAGGCATCAATGTTGTGAGGCACGCAAGAAATGTCAGTGGTCCTGACTGGGTCGTAGCCACCGATGTTCCCAGTGTACACCACAATCCGGAGCGCACGGTCTTGGATATCCGGAAATGCTTTCCACCGCACACATGCCCTTGATCGTGATCTGGGCGTCGGGGTGATTGCAGTGTTTCCGATTATTGCAAGGCAGCCACCAAATCGTCTTCATGGGATGAATCACACAAAAAGTCGCATGGCCGATGGATCTTTTCATATTCTTGTTAATACGACTATTATTATTGTTATTATTAGTTGTTATTATTATGAGTACATACTATTGTTATATATCAACGTGCGTCTTGAACTTTGCTAGAGTCCGGCTGCAACACCTGGCATCCCAAGACCTTCTCAAGTGGATATGAAATGCCGAGTGTTGCGGACTGCCTCCAGGGTCACATCTGCGGGCTGAACAGCTGGGGAAGAACGCCAAGCCCGGCCTCGCTCTTCCGTTGGCCGATCTTCGCTGGTTTACATAATCTGGTGACCAATTACATGGGACAAGACGATGTGAGAGCTCGCATATCTATATCTTATGAAACCTCCCCTGACATTAAACCGCCTGTTTGAGGCCCAGAACTCGTTCTGCCCACCATGAGTTCCTTTTAATTATCTGGAGTTTGTTCCGTCTGACTCCAACTGGCCGAGAGGCGCTAAGGGTGTCAAGCCGATGGAATCCATCACAAAGAGCTGGCCATCCAGGTGGAGTGATCCGGGAACAGCGAACTTCGAATTGCTGAGTGGAATAGCTTCAATATGCTTCAATTGTAGAGTCCCTCACTCTGCCAAAATTTGGACATGCAGCTAGGGTATATAAATATCAAATTACTTTAATCCACCCTGAAAACTTTGTTTTGGTGGGAGAATGTGCTGAGCAATTCAGGTGCCCTATTTCGGGCAAACTCAAAGGGGTTGAGCTCACCAGCCAAATAGAGGCCGATTCGGGTGAGCTCCTGCTTCAGCACACTGCAAGTAGTGAAAACGTACTTCTTCTGCGTGGAGGTATTCACATTCAATGTGTTGAAGGTGCTCAACTTTAGATTTAGATGGCTTTAAGATCGAATTATAAAGAACATAAATACAAAGTCCATAAACAGGTAGCGAGCCCCAGGTTCGTCTGGTGACGCGCGCTCCTCAGTATCGATGACCAATCGACACCACAAAGTCGTGCGTATGCAACAGTATGGATCTTATGAACAGAAAGCCCATCAAAATACCGCCTGAACACCCCAGATCCGAAGCTCAAGAGAAAGGAACACTACTTTCAAACTTCAAAGAAAGATCGGTCAACAAATACAATTTGGATCCTTTCACACTTTGGCAACTGGACTTGGAATTTACAACCAAATGTGACAACTTGACAGTTGTTTCCTTGTTTCTGTTGTACTTCTTTGGAACTGCAACCAAAAGAATACTTGCTGCAGGGGCGCTACTCCAAGGATTCAATCTGTGTAAAATTGCTGAAACCCCAGCTGATTAGCCTTGAGAAATGCCCTGAAACCACCAGCCTGCTGTGGTTTGAGTTCCTCCTCACAGGAGAGGTCAGAGTAGAGCTTCACAGCGGTGATGCCTTCCGTCCAGCAGTGACTTGCCTGGGACTCTAGTTTCCTGCATGTTCAAACACATGCTATCACCTGCTACAAGCACTTCCACGAGTGCTTATTTCGGCCTGGAGATCTGGAAGAATCTCTTGAGAACACGCGAGCTGAGAGCCATCTTACCCCGAGGGTTCACCTGGTACCCTGGACGGTTTCTTCTCACGATGCTCACCAAACTCATGGGTTTGGGATGTCGTTTTGCAAAACTTGCAGACTACAGGGAGTCTTAGCCATCACCAAACGAATTCCTGTAGACTGTAGACTGTTGGGTGGAGAACTCCTGCACTGCCTGGGAAAAAGAAAAGGAATGTCAGTTGCTGACGTTGGATTCATTTGATTCACTTTGAGTCCCTGGGCACAGGTGAAAGACTCCAAGGACTCTCACCTGGCCATCATGATGCCCTGTGAAACAAAAGGGCACGGGGCCAAGCCCTACAGTATCGTAGACCCCTCCTGGAAGACGGAATTCTCTGAGTCTGTGAGCCAGCGGATTTGGGCTTTGCGGCTCTGCATACATGGCATGTGGAAGAAAAAACATGAGCAGGCCACCTGCTTGCGCCCGCTTCCCCGTCGCCTCGAGCCAGTGGATCCCTTTGCCCTGTACAGCCAGAGTTTCGCTCATTCACCTCAGAATTGGAGACCGGAACTCCGACTAAGTTGCCATGCCCTGTGGAGATGTTTAATCTTTAATAAAGGGAACACGGTACACTATGAATGAAGAATCATAATTACCAGGTCATTAGGTGGGTGGTGTTTGTTAAAGTGGTTGAAGCTAAACAAGGCAATGTATCCTTGGTTACCAGGTGGTGCCAGCGTCTTTCTTCCTTCTGAGCCATTATATACTCAGATCCACACACAAATCCTCCGACCCCCAAGAAGGCACACATTTCATTGTTAATTTGGTGGATCGTGGGTCATTATCAACAATGATGACACAATGATCTATGCATATTGTAGTCAGTTTTCCAATCAACTCGCAGTGATGAAGTTATTCATCATGATAGGGTCGGAACAGGACAAAAAACAAGGAACAACTTGTACACAAATAGTTACTCTGCACAACTTGTAGGGCCCCAATGAAAGTTTCCCTGGCTGTGCATATGTCGTATGTGGTTCTAAGAGTGGTGCTCTTAAGTTAAGTTTCCCTAAACATCTAGGAACCAAATAACTAGTGCGAGCGTGAGCTATCCTGCGTCGTAGCTAGGAGCAAACTTTTCCTAGTAGCTTGCCTCCTTGCTTAATTAAGCAGGTGCCTGCTGAATTAAGTAAGGGTAAGGTCAAAAAAGAAAAACATTGAACAACAACAAAACAACAAACAAAACATACAAAAACACATGTCCTGACATGTCCTGACCTAGATCTCTGGTTGAGGAACCCAATTACTAACCAAAGCCACGGATGTCCGCGTCCGAAAAAGAATAGTAATATATGTCGATCCATTCACATCCATGCAAGGTACAAAGAAGCCCGTCTCGAAGGGCTCAGACCTGACAGGATCAAACCATTGACGCTTAACACTTGACTCGCAAGGTGGCACCAAAAACGTTGCCAAACAAGGTGCTCTGGGCTGATTTATGGAAGGTGATTTAAAGGCCGCTCTGCCCCCTACCTAACGGCGATGGCCTCCAACCTATACTGGCGATGGCCTCCAACCTACTAGCGATGTCTAGCGATGGCCTAGTAGCGATGACCTCCAATCTACTAGCGATGGCATCCAACCTAGTAGCAATGGCCTCCAACCTACCAGCGATGGCCTGCAACCTGATAGCGATGGCCTCCAACCTACTAGCGATGGCCTCCAACCTAATATATAACCATGGCCTCCAACCAATAGCGATGGCCTCCAACCTACTAGGGATGGCCTCCAACCCAATAGCGATGGTCAGGGGCTCTGGTGATTTGTGGAAGGTTCAAATAATTTCAAAAAGCCTGTGAGGCGCTGGCGATGTTTCTTCACTGTCAGCATGCACTGGGGACACTCAGTTTTGAGAAAAAAGGGTGATGGTGCCATGACCCGTAAACAAAGAGTGAATACAAGCCTGTCTTATCCGCAGGTTTCGGAGTCTCAAATAATTGCAAATGATGACCCTCAAAACAAGCTGCCACATGCTGCCACCCAAAAAATCCAGTGGGAGGTGAGGACCCTCCCGTAGTGCCAAAAGAAAGTGCCAACAGTTGGAGTGTAAAACTGGGGGATGGCATGATGGATCTGGAGCTCGTCCAGCTGCAACATTTCCACGGAGAAACCTGATCAAAACTGGGTTTCTTCCCGCAGTCTCGGAATATGGAACCTGAACAATCGACCTGCTCCTCCCTGAGCAACAAACTGTGAATAAGTGCAACGATTTCTACGGCCGTGTCACTTGGGGGCAGTTTTGGAAGGTTTCAATGTTTCAATTGATTACCAGTGCAAACATGAATGACGAGTGTTGTAATGTCTAATATGTTCTTATATATATTTTATTAGTCTGAACCACAAACCAATATCTTACCATATTATCTTACCCATTCACGCAGTGACTCTATGTAGCTTTTGCAGGTATCTACTTGGATCGAATTCCTCAAAACAGGTTAGCTGCAATGATGAGGGAAACACCCGCCACTTCCACTCTAAAGCATCGCACAAAAAGCCGCTCCAGTGTAAAACCTTTTTTTCGTCCGCTTCTTCGGAAGTGGAGCCTGTCTTTGCCCATGGCCAAACTCGGGGGGCACGCGGCGAATCTTCAAATGCGCTCGGCCTCGTTCTCAACAAATGTAGGAAGCATTGATATGATATGCATTGATATCTGAACCTGATAGGTGGGCCTTGATAGCTCTGGGTGAAGAAATGAAGTTCGCTTCGGGAGGTTCTTTGGCTATGGTGACGAATGAAAGGCTACTCCGGGAACTTAGTCGAACAGTGTTCTCTACGGCCGGGTGGGTGCGCTTGAGCACCCTGAGTCAGTCACCATGGAAATCCCCGGGTGACTGTTTATTCAGTGCGGCGGCGTTATCAAAGTGTCTTCCACCTTGAACTGGGACAGCTTTTCCCAAACATGCTTGAACAAAATCATCACCCAAGCCACAGCTTAAAGGATCACGACTCCCTTGAATAATGCTTAGTAATTGAGTAGAACCTCCGAGATGGTTGATCAAAAAGAGCAAAATTGTATACAATAGATCAAAGAAAGCTTTATTCCTCCCAAAATATTAGCAGAGGTACCTTGGAGTCAGGATTCTAAAGGACATGTTAGCCACCCTAATTACGAGTAATGTCTGCACTTGCTGCTCAGCTACGACAGGCAAAGTACATTTAATCAATCGGCTTGACCCCTTTTTCACCCCAAAAGACAGTGAATACGTACCCCTGCTGCCCTGCTCCAGTTGAATGGTCCTAGGGACCTTGCATCAAACGTTGACCTTTTGAGGGTCACCCTTGCGGACTCACCCCACTGTGAAAACAATCATCAACAAAGGTGAATTCAGAAGTCGGTAGGGGACGCAAACTGGATGTAGGGAATGTGGGCTAGGATCATTCCGGGAAGAGGTGACATCCAATGAAGCAAGAGTCGACCAAATGATGCTGTTGAAGAAATCTTGGTTCATCTGTGATCAATGGCTCGAGCGCCCCGCGTGAGAACGCGGGACGAAGACATTCACGCCGGATGCATCTCCCGGTCATCGTCTCATGGTGCCAGAACTGTCAAGCAAATCCTAAATGGGTTCCCAAGTCGCAACATGCCGCAACTGGTGAGCTGAATGTATCAACGATCCAATCACCAACATGTTCTTGGGGTAAGGAGGAGGACGACACCTTTCTTCCAAGCTCCGGACGCCCAACATTGGAGGTGTCTGTTCAAATGTTCCTGTTGAGTCCTATTTCCTTGCTGGACGTCTTTGAGGGCAAACAACGCCAGCTTGCAAACACGAAGTCTCAAACTAACCATTCAGTTGAATGGAGGTGCTTCGCCGGCTTGGGTTAGAAGGGATCAGCTTTGCATCCGAACCTCAAGGAGCTTGGCACATGGAAGTGACCTCTTACCCTTCTGTGCTGTCCTGGCAGTTGACAAAGACTGCGCTGCTGCGGGGGAACCAACGGGTAGAATCAACGAAGATGCCAATCACATCTCCGTGAAGCTGGTTTCGCAAGATTTAGGTGTGCTCATGTGCCCATGTGCTCTCGTGGAACGGAAGGGTCCATAGCAAGAGACACCAGCCCATTTCTTGTGAGAGATCCCGTTGAGAAGCATTTTCTCAAACCCTTGGCCGAAGTAACGGAAGCATTCTCATTCATGTGCATGACTCAAACCCATTTCTTTCGGAACCTTCAGTGACTCATCAACAGCCGCACTCTAGGCATGCCTGGACTCAACTCAATGACCCGAACGGTTAAAGTCATTATTGAAATGTCACTCCTCCCCCGATGCTACTGCGTGGCAACAATAGGAAAACAGTCGAATAGCAATGGTCTTATGTATGGCCAATCCATATCCAAAATGTCTTTTCACAAGGACATCCCATCCAACATGAAACAACCATCTGGTTCACCTTTGCACCTGTCTGCATCGTTGTGAGCCACCACAAAACCTCCGAAAGGTGGCCAGAACTTCAGCCAACACATCTTTCCCAACCTGGTTGTTGTGGGCGAGCACCCAAACCTTGTCACAGTGAAGACTATCTTCTCACATGCTGCGAGACGCTCAAGAGCTGAGGGGTGCGTGCACATCTGCACTGGGCAGCCTTCAGATGCAACGGAAAGGAAACTGAAATCTTAGGTGCTGCGACTCTACGTATCAGTGCCCATCCGGGCATTAAGTTTCAGCAGGCTTCTTCTAAAGGAAGCTCATCTTAGAGGCATGAGTTGCATGTTCACTTCGTCATTTAGCAAACAGCACCGAGAATAACATGTCCTGCCAGCTCTGCCAAGCTGCTACTTTCCAAACCGCCGGTGGCGATGTTGAAACTGCTTCACGATGTCCAGCAGGTCCTTTTGTTCAACCTCTGGCCAATGTTTGTCGAGGAAGAAGAGCTCTGCATACGCAAGTTGAAACCTCACAAAGCAGCGGAGATTCAGAAATATATTATTTTCGTTATTTTATCTGCCTTATATAGTTAAGGCGAGAGTTTGACCCGGAATATAAATCCAACAAACATTCAAGCAAAATGAAAGCTTCTGATCTTACAAACTGGTACTAAGAGCATTATTTGCTGGTCCTAAAAGCCACAGCAAACACCCTGACCAAAATGCGATAGCCGCCTCCTTTGCCCTCCCGCAATGCATCACAGTCCTACCACTTGTCACACACTATCCGAATCCCGTCAATGAATTTGATGAAACAAAACCAGAACGGTCGTTCCCAAAAAACCAGTGGTTGGCCAGCTCCTCAAGATTTTGAGACGCGCCCCAAACTGAAGAACCGCGATTGACTGTGCTGGAACAGTCATTTGTGTGGAACCTAGCCCAGCTGGGCTGGCTACAAGGTAGAATCCAGAAGACTCTGCTAGACCCACTGGCAAAACCTTGGTACAACCCATCGTCTAGTGGTCTACTAATAGTTGTGAACTCTACCCTGACACCCGGTTTCTTTGGTACAGTTTGGCCATTCTGTTCTGTAAAAAGCTTCAAGTCCATAATGGTCTCTATGACTGGATACGCTGGGATCTTCTAGCTTTCTGAGAGTCCTACTAGCAACAGGACTCTCTGGGACAGGCTTCAACACCAACCCCAGTCATGCGAGTTCCAGGGGCCTCTTTGTCATGGTGCGAAGATAACAGAAACCAGAAAATGTCATCAAGATTCACGTGACCTAGGATTTATTGTGCTTTCCAATTATGCGATCAATCCAATCTAATGAATGGACATCCCTGCGATTTCTTGTGGCACCGACATATAGTGCCACGACTTAAAGGTCTTAAAGTGCACGGATCTTTGCAAGCAGTACTGGTGCAAGAATCTCTGATAAAACTGGAGTCTCAGGACTTGCCAAAGAAGCGGTACATATAGAGAAATTAACTGCACAATTTTTTGGGGCCTGGCTTATGTACCCAAGCGTCCCTACACAGTGGGTTCACCTTCTTTGCCCCCGGACCGTCGAAGCAAGAAGCATCAAAAAGTTGCTCAGGCGCCGCTCGCCCGAGGTTCGAATCAAAACGTCCTCAGGACAAAAACCCCGGGCGCGCAGATAAATGGTTTTTTGATCCCTTTGCAACACAAACAAAGGGACCAGTTCCTGATGTTTGTGCTCTACACAGGTTTACCAAGGAGGTTGAAGAATTGATAGTTACAATTGCTGTAGTAACCCATGAAAGTAAGTTCCTTGAAAGGAGGATATAAACAAATACAAATCAGGATTTGCACTACGATACAATACTCGCCTCCAACCAAAAAGCGATGGCCTCCCCCTAAGAGAGATGGCCTCCAACCTAGTAGCGATGGCCTCCAACCTAATAGCGATGGCCTCCAAATCAGGCTTTGCCGTACGATGACTATGCTTATACATTGGTGTGC